AGGAACAGCGTAGCTGGGTAGTTCAGACCTAGAGTCTCTCATGAGGGTGCAGTTGAGATCTTGGCCAGGGCTGTCACCTGACAACTTATCTAGATCTAGAGGACCTGTTTCCAAGATGGCTCACTCATGTGGATGGCAAGTCAGTGCTGGCTGTTGTCAGAAGGCCTCAGTTCTTTCCCACGAGGAACTCTCCATAGAGTTCCTTGAATGTTCTAACAATATGGCAGCTGGTTTCCTCTAGAGCGAGTGATCCCAAAAGAGTATAGTAGAAATACAACGTCTTTCACCATCTAGCTTCGGAAGACATATACCATCACTTCTATAGAATCCTATTGATCTCACCAGCCATAATTCAATGTGGATGGGAATGATACAAGGGCATGGATACCAAGAGGAAAGAATCACTATGGTGCCATCTTGAAGGCCGGCTACCACAGATGGAGAGCAGACATAGATTGTTGTGGGGCCTGGTGAGATTAATTGGCCTCAGGGTTGTAAACAGAATTCTGATGTAAATCTGCTTCATGGACTCACTGGTATATTTGGGTTCCCCAGTAGAGTTGTGTTAGGCCCTCAGCACCAGTACATCTTCTTGCAGACTTTGAGGTGGATGCAGGAAGAGGCCTAGCAATGTGGAGAATTTTTTCCGTGAGGACCATGGGCTGGGACGGGCTGAGGCCTGCCACGTAGCCCCATTGTTGAGCCTATTTCAAACACAGACCCCTCCCCTGGAAGGTACATAATGACAGGACCTAGAAGCCTGTGTGACAAGATAGAAGTAGCATCATTATCAGAATGTAAGAGGTGTGCTTACCCTGATTCAGTGTGACCTTAATGATTAGGGTTTACCTCTTTTGACCTCTGAGATTTTGTTTTTTCCAGTAGTAAAATATGCAATTTGGGGAAAATGTTTTTACTTTTCAATTTTGTGTGTCATAAATCTATAAGGGCTTAAAATGGTATATACAACACCTCCTATAATGTCTGAAGATCTGAATTAAATTTGTGGACACAACTAGAATTTTCTGGTTCATCATCTTTTGAGGAATTCTCCGCTGCTGCCATCTTGTGGCCACTTAGAATAATAACAACTAGAGTGTTGCCTTTGTTCTTACGAATCACCCACCAGACAATGCCCAGAGTTCCTCCTCCTACACCCCATCCAATGGTCCTCTGGATTCTGAATGGACATTTCCTATGCAGGATGCCAATTTGCAAGGCAGTCTATACCTACGTTGTAAATATTTGAGTAGTAGAAAGTTCTTTCTGATACTGAGCCAAACTCTGCCTTGGTCTCATTTCCATCCAATCTGTCCTCTTTTCCTATTGTCTATTTCTTTTTCATATTTGAAGGCAGTTGCTTATCATATTTCCACATTTTTTATTCCTAGACTATTTAAGCTCCTTTATCCCTCTTTACATGATATGATTTCCAGAGGCCTCATCATCCTGTGCTTCTCTCTCAGGTCAGATTCCCTAGAAGCAGAATCTGAAACAGGGTTCTAGTTCAAGTGATTTACTGGAGGCGAGCCCTCAGGGTACACCTGTAGGGAAATAAGGGATGCTGGATGGGACAGGGGACAGAGCTGAGCAAGTATGTGGTCTCAGCTGGAGACTAGGCTGAGGGTGATCCCCAGGGCTCTGGAGCATGAATAGCACCACAGAGATCTCACCATGAGATGTGTGGTTCAGCCTTTTGTATTCTATGCCACTCAGTCACTAGCTCTGGGAGTGTGGGGAGTTAGGAGCAACCTTCCTGAGTAAAGTGCTTCCTGTTCCCGTTGTAAGGGGTTCTCAGGAACAGGGTACAGTTGGGCACTGTTAGAGCCAACAGTCATGGCTTGTAGGGAATGGGTGCCTAGAAAAGGGGATCTGTCTACCTTCTGCTAAGATCCTGTCTCAGTCGTAATACCAGACCAAGACCCACATATTCCAGACGCAGTCTGACCTGTAAAATTCGAGGGGGCCATTAAATCCCATTCTTCTTAGCCCAGGATCCATAGTCTAGGCTCACGCTGGGGCTTTGCTAATCTAACCCCTAAGATGTTTTCCACGTAAAATTGTTCCCAAGCCCAGTGTCTTCCATCAGTGCGTATGGCATGGTGAATACCTGAAGCAAAAGCACTTTTATTACTTTAAAATATCCTGTTGTTTTAAGTTCACATTCCAGCTGACTGAGTTCTTTTTGAATCTAGATTCTGTCGCCTAACCCAGCACTGCCTGCTCTTACCCACAGATATGATAAGTATATCTCTTGGTTGACTTTCAACTTTCTTGTCCATTCTTGACACTTAATGGTTGGTCATCTCTCAATATTTGGCTCTTCTGATGTCTGGCTCATTGCCCTGCCTGACCATTCCTGTTCTGTTGCTGCAGCCCATTCAGCGTCCCCTTCTAACTTTGGTTAAAAATGGATAGAAGCATGCCTGAAGCCAGGGCTCAAGAGAGTCTGCCAAGGTCTCACAAAAACCCTAGTTTGAGATAAGCAAACCGCCAGGAACCCAGCCAGATTTCAAGGCTATACTGAGTGACCAACACTAAAAACTCAGGGATACCAGCACAGTAGCTCTGAGCCTTTTGGGTAGCTTGACAGGAGGTAAAGAGGTGTCTGAGAATAACTTAGGGAATGTATTCAACTAATCTTAAACCTACTTAAGTGCATTGCAGAGTGGTGTACGATTGCCTTGAATTTTACAATATGTAGAGACTCACCCTTGATAACTGGCCTCCTTCATTGTCTAGGATAATGTTTTCCATGTATCCAACTGCAGCATCACTTTCAGTGTCAGATCCAGAGAATGTAGGTAGCATGATGCTTTCTCCTTCCCTCCATCTATGAGCTGGGATGGAGAGGTCACCCTCATCTGTGACCCTGATTGAGGTGTCGGTCAGCCTCCGCTCCCCAGGCCTCCATCAGGGGAAGGGATACGTGCTGTCAGTGGTCCTGCTAACATATTTCTCTCTGCCAGCCTTGTCCAGAACTAGTAAATCCTTTCCCCCAGAGGGCACATATGAAATGAGTCACCATGAAAGGCAGGATCAGTTAGGAAAGGCCAGGGATCACCTAAAATCACCTCCTGTATCCTAAAGATATGTGTGTCCCATCCACCATTTGGGAAACACTAACTTGCAGCATATATGCTGGAGAATCATCTAACTATTCCTTGGTAATTCCATCCTCCAGGCCCTGAGTCACTTCCAGACCAAAGACCTAAAAACCTTGAGAATAATGAGACACAGTGGAAACCACAGTAGAAACTTATTGTATTAATTACCTTTGGATTGTGAAATACCCTTTTTCTCCCCCTAGTTAGAGCCATGGGGCTTTACGTATAACAAATCCTCTCTTATTTGCTACTCTGTTCACCAAATTCAGTAGGTCTTTACATACTTGGGCTCTCTTTACAAAATAACTTAAATTGTGGTTTTCACAGCAAGCAGAGATTCCAGGAGCAAGGGATACACACTCCAAATGCTGATATGAGGCAAATTCCATACTGGGATGATTCAATCCAGGCCCTTGATTTCAGAGTCGCTATGTCTGTCTACATTTAAAACAGGTGGTTATTTTTAACTAGGCAAAAGCATTCAAGTTAGAAAAGGTCACAATGAAGACTAAGTTCCCTTCTCATTCCTTCTCTTGGTTCCAGTTCCTTTCTCCAGACATCAATGTTATTGCCAGTTTCTTGTGCGTCTTTAATCGTGGCTATCCTTCTAATTATATGTTCATTGTGCTGTATACATCCTATATTCATAATTCTTTGAAATAATGTTCCAGTAAAATCTTAAGAAACCTGTGTTTCATGTCACCTGTCTTAGTTGGGGTTTCCTCAAAAGCAGAGACTGAAACAAGGAAGGACTTGGGTAAAGCACTGAATTAGGGAGGTGGTCGGTTTCAGCATGAAGGAGTGGAGGCAAAAAAGAAGGGAGAAGAACTAAGATACGAACATCTGCAGTGAAGGTAGAATCAAAGAATTTTATCTTGGAAGCGTGCCTGGGTGGATCAGTCTGTTGAGCATCTGCCTTTGGCTCAGGTCATGATCTCAGGGTCCTGGCTTTGAGCCCTGCATCAGGCTCCGGGCTCAGGTGGAAGCCTGCCTCTCCCTCTGTGGCTCCCTACATCCCCCTGCTTGTGTGCTATCACTCTCTCTCAAGTAAATAAATAAAATCTTAAGAAAAGAATTTTATTTTAGATATATTAAATTTTGAAATGATCTTTAGACACCCAATGAAGAATTGAAGCAGGCACTTGGCAAAAAGATTCAGATTATTCCCATGGATCTGACCACTGTCCAGTTGCTCCAGCAACAAAGTCCGTCCTCTGACCTAATCTCGGTCACTGCCCAGGCTTTCTTTCCCTGGGATTGATGTCGGTTAACTCGAGACTGAGCGTTGTATCAGACTCCATTTAGCAGTATGGAGAACATAAACAGCTAGGCTTTACTGCTGGTGGCAGTTGCTCTCCAGATGCCAGAATCACCCCCTGAGACCTGTTATTGCGTTAAAAAATGGCCCCAGATGCTGCTTTCCACAAATTTCATACTTACATCTTCTTAGATGTTTTTCAGTATACTAGCTCATAAAATGGAAGCCATTACCACACTCGTTTATTTTTCATGAAGTGTTGTAACAGGAATCGTGGATTCAGCAAGTGAAGCTGAAAGTCATATTAATAATGCATGTTAAGTACAACTGATAGGTACTCTTGTCCTCTCAGCATCACCGAGAGTGTTAGACCGAGGAGGCGTACATGTGGCAACATGGTCATGCGCCCGCATCCCTTCTGCAGGGAGACTGGTAGTGGAGGGACCAGGGGGGAGTCTTTAGCTTTCAGCTTAAGTTAGTGGTTTCTTCAGCATTGATCAGCAGAAAAACCATCCGAGGGTGACTCGAACTCAGTAGGGCACTTTTTCACCCTCCCTTCCTTCCGGGTGTATCGGACAATGACCGAGCCCTAGAGTCTGCATGATTACCAAGCCCTCTAATTGATTTTCATGTAGGTGGTTCGCAGAACATTGTAGGAGAAGCTGGCCTAAAGGAACCTCTAACTGACACTGTGGTCGTCTCGCGGGCGTCCATTTCATCCGGCTCCCGGCCCATGCACGCGGAAGGTACGTGGTGCTTGGGGTCTACCCTTCTCTGCTCCCCCACGTGCTCCAGGAGAGGCGGGCCACCCACCCACAGGGCGGGCCTGATTGGTCTATGGCAATCACGGTTTTCCTTCCCCCTTTTCAGGGATTGGCTTAGACATGGCCACGTGATACAGTTCTGACCAATGAAGCCGAGGAGCAGGCTGCTTCTGGGAAAGATTTTCTTGTTCCTAATAAAAGACACACTGGTGAAGATGGTCTTTTATTTCTATTTTTTTCCCCCTGGACACGGCTGTTACCCAGGTGTGGAGGCTGGCCCTGGGATAGCTGCCTTGTGACAATTAGAGGGGGGCTAGCGCAAAGGTGAAGCCTGCCCACCAGGGTGACAGAGAGGCAAGATGTCGTTGAGTCATGGAATTATCCTGGAGCTGTCCTATCCTTGGACTCCCGGGTATTTCCGTGTTGTTCAGCCGGCTAAGTTTGAGATTCTTCTATATTTCCCGCTGAGAACATTCTGACAGCTCCTGAATTCGTATGTGCCCTTGAATTCAGGGTTTAAGCTTTCTGTAATCTACTACTGAATGATTGTAACATAACACCTTCGTGGGCTCCCTGGAAGCAGATTCTGAGATAGGAGTTCGAGTGTACGTGATTTATCGAGGTTGTGATCTCAGGACAAGCCAGTGAAGGAGGGAGTGAGAGAGGGTAGGAAAAGGGAAGAGACAAGTAGTCTCAGGCAAAGTCTATCCTTGGCCTGACCCGTGGGAGGTTCTGGATCTGCACAGTCTTATATGGTAACCTACATGTAGCTATTTACATTTACACTAATTAAAAGGAGTTAAAATTTAAAATTCAGTTTCTTAGTCTCCTGTCAAGTGCTCAGTAGCCACATGGGAGCTGGTGGCTCCCATACTGACCAGAGCAGACAGAAGCATTTCCATCATCACAGAAAATTCTACTGGACAGCTCTGTGGAGTGTAAATGATAACACACAGTTGCCCCACCTTGATGCTCTTGCACTGCAATGTTGGTCAGTCATTGCTGCCCTGCGGGGAGTGGTGACGTAACCCCTCCAGGGAGATCCAAGGAGGTGGCTCCTGTCAGCCAAGGGCAATTCCCCAGGGCAGAGCACGGAAGGTCGCAGCACCCACAGCCGCTCCAGATTGGCCATTAGGTAAAGGGACCTAAGTGAAATACCAACAATGACTACCACCGTGGTGTCAAGCAGGCATGAGCTGGGATGCAATACTTGTGGTAGATGATTAGGCTAATCCAGAATCTGGGAATTCACCATCTCCTGGGATTACTACTAGGGAGCACCTTTGGTCCATAGCCACCCCTGGGTCAGATGTGTACCAACTCCAGAGATACTCAGATTTCAGGGGAGACAGTGGAGGCTCAGATAGCAGCCTCTAAGGGAGAAAGACACATGGCCCAGTGAGTAAGACCTACAAAAAGTGCCCGAGTGTCAAAGAGGGGTGGTGACTCTGCACAGAACCTGGAGCTCCTGCCACATCTAGCCCCTGTGCCCTACTAGAAAGAACATGAGGGTATAAATTCTTACTAAGTTCTCATTATGCTTCCATAACACGTTTTCCTATGTCTTGCGTCTGTCTACTCTTTGTTTACCTCTTCCTATGACACCATTTTTGTAATGCCATCTTCTATAAAGAGAATAGCAGATAATTCAGTCTTTTATCTTGCATGGTTTATCAACATGTTTTATCATTGCTGCTTTAGAAACATTTCTTTTAGCTCCACAGTTTGTTAGGGAAAGTGACATATCCGTACCTTCCTCTTCAGTTCCTTGATCAGGAGTTAATGCCTCTTGAGGGGAAAGTCCTCAGATAACACAAGCCTGTGATTTCACTCTTCCTTGACCTCCCAATAGCTGCTGCCAGAGTGGCCGGTCTAGCTCAGATCAGGTCTTCACTGTCCTGAGCACCTGTTCCATCACTGGTTTGGCCCCTGAAGGCAGGGTGGTGGTGTGGAGCAGGAGGCGATGGCGTGAGCCTAAGTCATAGTCACCCCTGAGCAGGAAGCAAAGGAGCTTCTCATTCCAGATTCTTCTCCTTGGGTCAAAGATAGAACCCAGAGACTAAGTGACCGCAGTGGTGTTCTATTCACCTTCCCTCAGTGCACAGCAGCCCAACTTCCAACTGTGGGCACCTGTAACTTTGTCTGAGGGCTGTACTCTGGCCACTGAAGGCCATTTTGCTCACCTGTGTGGGAGGCTGCAGGTGTCCAGAAATTGCTGTCCTTCCCCTCACCCAAACCCTGCTCCCCACTAGTCTTCAACCATTTATTAATGGAAGTTAGTGTATAAATACCAAAGCTCCTCATCCCTTGGATAGGATACTTGAGTGTGAATCTACATGGGCTCCAAGTGCCCCATCATGATTGAACTTCAGTCGTCCTCATGGTAATTGGCTCGATAATGTCTGAGCTCCCTTTATTTGACTGCCTTTCCCATACTGTCTCACTTCCCTCTTACTGGTGGTTTTTGTTTGTTTGGTTTTTTTTTTTTTTTTTTTTTTTTAGCTCCTAAATGAACTACTTGTACTTGAGTCATTGTCTCAGCATTTGCTCCCGGGGGAACCCAGTGAAGATCCTAGGTAAAGTCCACCAGGCCAGTTGTCACTGGGGACTGCTGCCCAACCTGAGCCCTTGGACCATCATCAGGGCACAGGGGCTGGAGGGGAATGTCTTGTCTCCACCTCTGCTGAGTAGTTAGTTTTAATCTGGAGTGAAGATTATTAGCAAGTGTATGAGGCATACAACATGCCAGTTGCTCTGTATCACTCCCCCGCCCCCATCACTCTTATTAGTTATAAAGCTGATACTTTGTTCTCCAACTCCTGCTGTTTATCTCTAGGTGAGCTCAGAACTTGAAAGGAGAGTAGGAGGTTATTAATTGGGTCTCCTGAAACTGTTGCAATAAGCATGGTAGAAAGGTAGCAATTCAGGATGAGCAAAATCCAGGTAGATGGGTCAGAGGGTGGCTAGATGCTGGCCCCTGGCCTGAGGGGTGGAGCAGATCTACAGCCACAGAGGAGGAGGCAGAATGAGGTAGTAGGTGGCATACCAGAATAAGAATTCAGGAACGGAGACAAGGCAAAGCCAAATAATCAGAGCACTCGGGGGTGCTGGGGATGTGATCCTTTTGATGAGACCAGAGCTCATTTATCAGAATTGGATCACTGCATCCAGAGTGGGGTAATATCATCCGTGCTGATGCATAGCTTATGGGGCCTGAGCTAGTCAGATGCCTCCTGTATCAGGCTATGATTAGACCTGGGGGCAGGAGGCTGGGCAGCAGCTGTGGGCAGAAGAGAAACAAGTAAGGAAACAGGCTGGTACTGATCCATTCTGCAACTGGATATTTAAAAGACTAGCTCAATTCTCTCCTTCTTGTCTGTAAAGGGGCACTACTGTGCTTTGTTAAGCCGCAGAGAGGAAAATGCCATTCTTTAGGCTCTTTTCTCAGATTTTGCAGACGTTGACCTTAGAAAGCTCTCTTGCTTCGCTTGTATCTTTCATCTTCTCTGCCAGGGTTCATGAATCATGAGGGGACCTTGGCTGCTCTAAATGACTTCAAATCTGTCCTGTTCCAGACAAGTTAGAGGGCAGGTATATAGGTCAGGGCTCTGTCAGTTACAAGGGATAGAACCTAGGGTCTCATAAAATGGAACTGTGGACTCGTTGCCAGTAGGACTCTCTCTCCATCCAGTTCTCAACACTGTTTGTCCTGCTTTTCTTTGCATGTTCATCTTATTCTCTCCACACGCAGGCGTTTAAGACACTTTTAATCCCCCAGCACCTTTAATCCCCAAGTTTACCAATGTCAGCAGAAAGGGCTCTGTGTTCCCAGGAAGGACACTGACAGGTGCTGCCTAGACCTTATGCCCATTTCATGGCCCAGCATATAACAGGCAATCGGTAAATATTCTTGAATGAACGAATAACATTATCATGGCCCATGTGGTGGATATAGTCCCATTGTTATATATTAATAAATTGTAGTTGATGTTTCTATCTCAAGATACTGGTTCATGGGGCGCCTGGGTGGCTCAGTTGGTTAAGCCACTGCCTTCGGCTCAGGTCATGATCCTGGAGTCCCGGGATCGAGTCCCGGGATCGAGTCCCGCATCGCACTCCCTGCTCAGCAGGGAGGCTGCTTCTCCCTCTGACCCTCCCCCTTCTCATGCTCTCTCTCTCTCTCTCATTCTCTCTCTCAAATAAATAAATAAAATCTTAAAAAAAAAAAAAGATACTAGTTCATGTGCACGCACTTGCTTCCCAGAGATGTCTGCTCTTGGAGTGTTGAGGAAACAGTCTCTGAGCCTGCAAGGCTGAGAGTTTTGCTAAATCCAGCACGGTTAGTAAATGCCACCCTGGGAGGTCTCCTGGACCACAGTCTGCTCTACTTTCTCAGCTCTCAGTCTGGACTATGCTGTTGATGGAATTTATGCCTGTTGCTCTTTGAATCTTCACACTGAGAACTTAGCTATGAAACATAGCTTTCAAACTCATCTTCACAATATCATTGTGAAGTCATTGTCAGATAAGGTCTTACTGTCTCTACTCACTAACTAGGAAAGTCCAAGCATACATTGGATAGGTTGGTATTTTCCAGGATTTCTTTTCCAGAATGTGAGCTCCTTGAGTATCCATGAAAAGGGGTTCCATAGTCAATTATGATTAGGAAATCTTTGATCAATTCACAATGCATGTTAGTATATTAAAGGTTCTGAAAGAAACTACAATTATGAAACCTATATGAACTGAGCTCTTTTTAACGTTGAGCAAAAAGATTTTGCAAAACTATTGGATGCTCAACCTTCTTGCATCCATCTTCTCTTGTTGCCTCCTGTTTTCCCCGACTATCTCTTTCCACCTAAAACCAGTCCCTTCATCTATGCCCAGCATCTTATCTCCCCCCGCCCCCATCCTCAGGAATCTTCTTTTCTTTTTTTGCTGCAAGAAATCTTTTATTGTTTCCATTTGGTCCAGGGCTTGGG